GTGAACTTTTGCTGGTAGTGTTAAGAGAGCTTTCCTAAAACATTTGTCCAACACGAGTAAACGCGTCTTATGCACCCCTCCCCCTCCGGAACGTTCACTTGATGATTTTCTATTGATGTTTCAAAACGAATGAGAAGGGGGCGTCAAAATACAGGCGGCCCATGGGCGGCAAATAAGTAAATCCGGCCCTGATTCCACTTACTGTTTTAATCGTGATTACAATGTTAGTTTTATGGTGACAGGCGGTTTGGTCCCGATGACGATGCCACATTGTTACCGGGACCTAGTTGATTTGTTTAAACAAAAGTCACATTGTAACTTACACAAAAAAAGTACTCGGAACCTTTAATCCACTATGAATGTTGTAAGAGCAACGATTTTTTTCCCTCCGAGAGAACCATGCATTTGTAATCGAGGGTGCAAAATAATCAGGTTTTTATATAATGATTGAATTTAATCTATAGGAAGGAGCTGAGAGGGTAAAGCAGGAAAATTGTAATAGAGTAAGAAGACGATAGGTAATAACGGGAAAAATTATTGAACCGGTACAGCTATGAATAAACCGAGTGAACCTGGCCGAAATTCCGCGAGCAACTATTACTGCTCCTAAGCAGCTCACATTGCCTATCGAGATATTGAAGGCGAACTGATCGGAACGAGTGTGAAACAAGTTGAGATGAGAATAGTACTAGCCTGTTACAACTGTAAATAAACCAGTTAAACGTGACCAAAATTCTGCGAGCAACCATGATTATGATTGATGTTACTATAACTATGTGAGCAGCTTAAGAGCAGTAATTCGGTCATGCACGATCACCCGGTTTGTCCTGTTAGTCCTTCACTTACATTGTTTCTCACTCGTTCCGATCAGTTCGCCTTCAATATCTTGATAGGCAAAGTAAGCGGCTTAGGAGCATTTATAATTGCTCGCTGCCCTTTGGTCACGTTCACTCGGTTTGGTCATAGCTGTGGCGGTTCAATGATGTTATTTTCTACCATTACCTATCGTTTACTATTTCCTCTATGCTCTAATTACTATTTGTTCTATTGCAAATTTCCTACTTAACCACCCAAGCAACATAGGAGGCAACTAACTGCAATTACTTATATCAGTACTATATATACTTTTTATTATTTTTCCATTCCAAATAATCTGAAAATTTCAAAGAGAAGTATCCATAACTTTCCTTTGAAATAAATATTTCGTTGAGGGAAAGGATGTGTCCCATTAAGGAGGGTATTTTGGCCCTAACTTTGGTTGAAAATTGAAATAGCTTAGAATAATGTCATTTATGGTCAAATCGACTCTTGATCATCTACCTTGTAAGAACTTGTCCTTATTTGAGGTGTTTTTGAAAGGTTTTTGCCTGATTTACCAGCACAAAGTAGTGAAGTTTAGCAGTTTTCTCGAATAATTGCTCATTTTCGGTCCTAAATTAGATTGTTTATGTATGAGCACAAGCGACTACCACTTTCTCCTTCAAATATGTTGTAATGGGTGTACTAAAGATCAACATATTCGAATATGAAAGTGGTATTCGCTTGTGCTCGTAAATAAACAATCTAATTTCGGACCGAAAATGAGCAATTATTCGAGAAAACTGCTAAACTTCACTAGTTTGCACTGGTAAATCAGGAAAAAACCTGTCAAAAACACCTCAAATAAGGACAAGTTCTCACAAGGTAGATGATTAAGAGTCGATTTGACCATAAATGACATTATTCTAAGCTGTTTCAATACTCGACCAAAGTTAGGGCCAAAATACCCTCCTTAATGGGACACCCGGACACATCCTTTGGCAACGTCCGAAAGTTCAAACGGAGTTCTTCCTCAGCACGGCAGACTGGACCGTATCTACGACTTAGGCCGCGGCCACGCGTGTAAAATTTGTTAGTAAAGGTGAAGAACGTACCCCACCCCCCTCCCCCGATGGAGCCACTCCGGAAACGGACCGAGCGAGCGGATTCTGCCGAAGCGAAGGATGGACGCCCAAAAATTTCACGAATTTTGCATTTGCAAACGCAAGCCATGCGTTACGCAACTCGCGAAACGCGAAGCGGGACGAGACATTTCGGTGCGTGACGCAAACGCAAACTCAATCGCCGCATTCGTCACGCACCGATGTCGATACATCGAGTTCATCGTCAAACGGGTCAAACCTCAAACAGGAACCGAGCGGGACGACCTGTCGCTGTTGAACATCGCTGCCAAAAGTCCGATGGTCTCAGAGCGGGGGCAAAAAACTGAAAATAATCCCCCCCTCTTAGAATATCTTAAGCGCTAACATACATTCTATTTAACTAGGGGATGTGTCCCCTGACTGCTTCGCGGTCTAAAACCCCTCGAAGCGCCTTGCGCCTCTAGCCTTATGCGTTACGCGTTACTCTTATGATTCGTTTGGTCATATGCTTTTTATATTTCATATGGACGTATTTCTGTCACGGAACTCTGTGCATTAAGACAAGAGCCCTGAGACCCATAAGAATATATACATAACAGGGCTCACTTCATAATGCACGTTTGCGCTAAACACAGTGCGTTCAGCGCGAAGCGTATATTAGCGCCTGCAAGACTGTAGGAATACTTCACGCATTGCGCGTTCATGTGCATTAAGACAAGAGCCCTGAGACCCATGAGAATGTGTGCATAACAGGGCTCACGTTATAATGCACATTGTTTCGTTCGATAGAAATGCGTCCATATGTCGCAGGCAAATAGTGAAATCAGGCATTTTGTCAAATGCCTAAGCAGATAGCTAAATTTTGATTGTCTAAAAAATTTCATTCCTTTATGGCGGAGAGCTCACGAGTTTTCGATATTTGTGGGAAAATATCTCATCAAATCTATACAAACTATTTTCGTCTCTTCCACTTAAATTGCCTCTCATATTTTTGAATGTTGAGCTTCTAAAGATGTTGTATTCTCTGACATGCTGAAAATTTCAAGATATGGGTCTACTTGGGAGCTAAAACTCGTTTAAAATACTATTTTGTGATGCAAATTTTTACTGAGAATTTTTTCTCACGGGGTCAATTAATTATTTTGTCTAAAATTAGGAAAATAATCAGAGTTTTAATCTCAGCTAGAATACTAGACCATTTACCTGGGCATTTGACAATTTGCCTGATTTTACTATTTGCCTGCGACACATATAGCATGATTTAAAATAAATCGGTTTGATAAGGGATAAGTTGGAATGAATTAGGATGATTCGGTATAAATGCAGCGGACAAATTGCGATGTCTCAGCGTATGGATATGTATGTATTAATCGGAGAGAATCAGGGATCGCCGTGGTAAATTCGGAAACTTTGGATAGAATTAGACTAACAAGCATAAATCACGATAGACTGAAATGAATCATAATAATAGAGGATAAATACAGGAACACCTTGGATTCCAGAGAACATATTTCGATGAACAGGAACAAGACAAACATGCGGGTAAAAAAGGACGCGCCGGCGTGAATTGGGAAAATTTGGAACGAATCAGGTTACGAAAAAATGCAGAGTAATTAGGCCAAAATTACGTCTGTGGTCACGTGAGTGAAATTAGTTAGTGAGAAGTCTTTTTTACAGAGACTAAAAAACTGTTTTGCGATGGCCAGAAATGTTCTCTCGACTTGAGCTAAGGCGTATGGGCGTGGAATACGTTCACTAATTAAAATTTAATGAAAGTTCATGAAAAAAAAAAATAGCGTTCCTTATTCTTTGTTCTCCTCGCGATTTCTGTGAACATAGCAGTGAGTGTGGAGAGTATCATGCATACTTCACAAAGCCGCTGATACGCGAGTTTGCCCTTAGTCTTGAAAGACAAACGAGAAATCGAATCAAATTCTGCGGTCAAAAAAATGCTTGTAAAAGGTAATTTCTTTGCCTTAACCTTTCATGCTTTATAGGGCAAAACATTTTCGTATTGACACGGTAAAGTACATCTGAGAAACGATGCCTATAGAAGAAAATGGAGTTAATAATTTATTTTCGATAAAAATAACATTTGTGTTCCTAAAACGGGACGAATCTAAAGCCAATCACATTAGAAACAAAATACTGCGGAGACACATCTGAATAATGGCCTGAATCATGCAGCGAAATTCAGTCGAAAAAATCAATAATTGCATTCCACTGTTGCCAAATTTCCCCGTACATATTGCATCTTTACCGAGACAATTTTGGGCATCTCTGACTGAAAATTAACTTTTAATTTCTGACTAAAAATTATGGGAATCTGCCAGGTAAATCTCTGCATTTAAAACATCTAAAATATCGCGAAGAAACCTTTTTTTCACTTATTGCAATGAAAAAATATCAGCTGCACCGCATGAAAGCAAGAGGCAACTTGCTACGTCACAAGAAAACTTTTTATTGTAACAGCGGAAGTTTCCTTATCGTGGCGGTCAATCGTCATTTTGTTCTGTCTGTGACGAATCTTATTTATTTCTGGGTATTCCGTGTATACAAATATATAGTTCATGGTTCGAATAAAAATTGAACACTTAGAGACTTTTATAGAGCTTACTCGTGGTACTTCTATGAAGCATTGGGAGATGAGCAGCAGAAAAGTGCAGTATGCTATGTACAACGTGCGGCGTGAAAATGACGTTGTAAGAATCTTCTATGCGTGCCCAAGCAGCTAGGAGGCGTACCTACACAGCATCATAATGTATTTTAAGCAACTTGATGATTTAAATAGACACGACGGCAGTGGCGAAGCAAGAATGATCGATTATCGATATTTTCCCTTTTAAAGCCACGGTAAAGAATCTATTATTAAAGTGTTCACTGCGAAAACCTTGTTTATCAACCATTTTCCGTAGGTTTAAATGGCAGATCAGTCGATACATCGCAGAGCTCGCCACGCTACTGCACGACGGGAAACTCCCACGATATCCTCCTCCTGACATATCGCACACCACACTTCAGATTTCTAGTGATAAATAAAGCAAGAAGTGGCTGATTTGGAAATAAGAAATTAACAAATAAAGAGACGCCATAACTTACAGATGAGATGTGCGGAGCCTGCAGACAGAAGGGTCAAGAAGTCCACAGCACGTACCGCTGTGATGAGAACGATGAGAATTATCCAAAATACTGTCAGATTGTCAGTTTGCTTTACCACTGGTTCGCACCACAGCACAAGAAGACTCTGAAATTTCACTTAATTATTCCTGAAGAAAATTCTGAGTCGCGGGAGCTGTTTCACTTTTGAAAAGACACTTCGTTGATAGAATAAAGAGTCAAATCCCAAAATTTTGGCACTGTAGGAGTGAAGTCCATAAAATAAAGTAATCTCAAGATAACTCTTGAAAATGGAACGCGTTTCAAAATTAGACGAGGGAAATATTGAAAACCCGTTGGAAACTAAGATATTGAAAATATCCTGAACGCACGTTGTGTCCGATACCCACGTGACGGAGGTCTAAGTCTTTCGGAGATCCTGACGGTGAGGACTCCTGACCGCTCTGATTGTGACTGATTGTTGATCGTCGGCGGCGACTGATCTAGTGGGTGGGCGCGGCGCTGCTGCGAGAGTACTCAGTACTCCGAGGAGATCGAACCCGGGCCTCCAGCTCCGTGTTGACAGAAACAGCTTCAAGTGATGCTCAGCGGCATGCGGCTCCATAGACCATTTCTCCGGGCGATTGCATCACCGAATTTGAAGGTCTCTCGAAAAAGAGATGGGCGCCGTTGTAAGTACCAATGCGGGCATAAAGGAAAGCACACGGAAAAAACTCGCTCCGGCCGGCGCGGCGTCAAGCCGCGACGCCACACATACCTATATCCTACCGCCGTGTGCGGTGCTGCCAGGTTGCCAGGTGCGCGAGCCCTGGTTCAGGGTCAACAGCTTTGGTGTCTCTTTATGCGGCGCGTTAAGACCGGAGTCTTCTGATAGTGTTTAATTGTGAGCCTCTCGTGATGAATATTGAGGGCGGCGAAGGTGCGACGCTGAGTAATTAAGGTGCAAGATGCGCCTTGAAGGGCTGATTCTTGAAATTCGTAGACAAAGCGATAGACATGCAAATAAGGCAAAAAGGATATGAATGATTTTATTGGTGAAATCAGGTGGTTACAATGGACGAAGGAGGTAGGTTGGTAGGTAATAGACCAAGTAACGGCAATCCACAGGGAACCCTTTAGCTAGTCCATAATTTTCTCCCATAGTCTGTAAGAACCACCCATTTCAACCAATAGGATCGCTCCATACTCCTTATGTCTTCTTTGTTTGTAGCTTTGCCTATCAATTTCAACAAGCAGCCTGCAGACTTGGCCAATAGCGCTCGCGTGGTATTTGAGCAAATTGTGGGATATTCATTTTACCTCAAATCGGATTGAATATGACGCATTTTAAGACTCAAAAACTCTGATTGCTTGAAATAATGTGAAAAATCCCCATTTCTGGCGTTTTTTTAAATTACTTTTTTAAATTTTAGTTTCTGAGAATTTTTGCCTTGGAGCCACAGGGCTCATATACCGTCATCCATTTCTGAGCTTTCAGGATCGAACTTACGCCAAAATTTACAGGTTTTCTACCTTCATATTCTCAATAAGTGAAGGAAAATGGACTTCCGGAAATAGTGATACAAGTAACGACTCATGCGATAACAGGAAATTTGCAAAATTTTAGATAACTGATAAAAACTGCATGAAATTTGGAAAAAAATGTGAGAAACGGAAGCTATGCATAGAGAGATATATCAGAGACAGGAAATTGACAAAGAAAAAGTACGGGGATGGGTTGGTCAAAGATTGCCGAGAGCCGTGAGATGGATGTAATCTTTCTCAAACGGTGTGTGCTATCAGACCCTTGAGACGTTTTAACTCTCTCCATAAAGGGACTGTGAGCAGCTTCAATCACTCCTCCTTGGTTTTCGCGCATTAGATAATGACGCTGTTGCAATGTGAAATACCTAAAAAATTACAATGGAGGCATTGGTAAGCTGTTTGCTTTCACCTCGAAATTCACGTGAATGTGACCACGTTTCAGCTTCTCCCGTTTAAAAAGGGCACTGCAGTGAAAATGTAAATCCATCCCCAATGATATCTCTAAAGGTGTCCCGTGACTCTCATTCCGCACAGTGAATCAAATTTTATAAAATTCAAAATCGTAAAATTTTACATGAACCATTGCAGCTTGTCAGTCTTACGATACAGAATAATTTTGTTTCTTTTATTACTATCCGAAAACACAATTTCCTATACATTACAAATGTTTTGCAGATGAAAGAGAGAATATGGGAACTTGGTAGTAATGCAAAAAACTAGGATTCTCTGCGATTTTTTGTGACTCTGAGTGCGGGCTGCATATCCTGCCCCTAGAATTTTTCCCCATATTTTTATTATATTTCACAATCTCAATAAAGAGCGACGCCAAGAATGGCACAATTTGGGCCAGAAGGGATTTTTCTGAAACCGGGCCCAAACGATACCTTATGATACCCTAAAACTCTGGTAAAAATTTTAGCTTGAGTATACGCACGGTTTTTGAGAAATGAGGGGGCAAAGTTGCCTAATCGCCATCATTCTGGACAACATTTCTACAGCAAAAAGACGGGAAAAATGGACGAAAAAGTTACACCTTTGATGAATTTCGGCTGTACATGTTCTCATTAGGTTCCCAAGCATTTAACTGTGTTCAGTTTCAAACATTTTGATCGCACAGTGGTCCAAAATGGGGAGAAATCGTCGACAAATCAGGATTCTTTGTCAAATTTTTAGAAATGGAAGTAAAATTGTCGGTCTACTGCAGTTTTCATGGCTAACAATGTTCTCATCGATCATCAATGCATGAAATTGTGTTCAGCTTCACAAATTTACATCGCACAGTGGTCAAAAATGAGGGAATTAGTGGACAAATTAGGATCCTCTGTCAAACTTCTTAAAAATGAAGTGAAACTGTTGGTCCCCAGTAGACTTTAGATCCCGGAAAAATTCTTTAAATTCTTTTTTTGACTATTTAAATATTTTTTTTAATTTTTTCTCTCCATTTTTACTTCTTTTTTTTTAAATTTCTGAAAATTTGCATATTTTATTGAGATAATGCTACAAAGTCTATTCTATAACAACATTCTATAGACAATACGGTCTGACATGTAGTAATAATTAAAAAAATTAAAAACATGAATTTTTCCGGGATCTAAAGTCTACTGGGGACCATCAGTTTCACTTCATTTTTAAGAAGTTTGATAGAGGATCTTAATTTGTTCACTAATTCCCTCATTTTTGACCACTGTGCGATGTAAAGTTGTGAAGCTGAACACAATTTCATGCATTGATGATCGATGAGAACATTGTTAGCCATGAAAACTGCAGTAGACCGACAATTTTACTTCCATTTCTAAAAATTTGACAAAGAATCCTGATTTGTCGACGATTTCTCCCCATTTTGGACCACTGTGCGACCAAAATTTTTGAAACTGAACACAGTTAAATGCTTGGGAACCTAATGAGAACATGTACAGCCGAAATTCATCAAAGGTGTAACTTTTTCGTCCATTTTTCCCGTCTTTTTGCTGTAGAAATGTTGTCCAGAATGATGGCGATTAGGCAACTTTGCCCCCTCATTTCTCAAAAACCGTGCGTATACTCAAGCTAAAATTTTTACCAGAGTTTTAGGGTATCATAAGGTATCGTTTGGGCCCGGTTTCAGAAAAATCCCTTCTGGCCCAAATTGTGCCAAAAAACGGTCGTTTTTGGCGTCGCTCTTTTACAAAATATTGACGGTAATCGCATTCCTACCATAAGTTCATCTTATGTCATTCCACCCTGATCCAGTGGCGTGGCGTGAATTGCGATGTATCGATTGTTCTGCCATTTAAACCTATGGTAAAGAATCGATTATTAAGGTGTTCGCTTCGACCACCCTCTTTATCGATCCTTTTCCGTAGGTTTAAAAGGCATAACAATCGATACATCGCAAAGCACGCCACGCCACTGTCCTGATCCCCTGTCCACCGTCATGCGGTGTATAATTTCCTCCAATAAAAGTCAATAAAAAATATAAGAGCGAGAAATAATTTATAATCTTATTATATAAAAAAAATGTGATAACTTATCTAAACTTCGACAGAAAAGGAGAGGAAGTATTAAAGCTCTCCTCAGGAACAAAACTGCAATTATCCAAGATTGCAGTGTGTACTCCCAGTCAGCAATGCAAGACGCGACGCAAAGGATGTGCCATTTGATTTTATTGCGTAAGAGACTCCTGCATTTCCTCGAGTAGGTAACTATTGCGACACGCAGGATATTTTGACGCATACCCTGCAAAATGAAGGCGCGACACAAATTGCAGATGCTGGTGTTTATTGTACACGTTCCTCGCCCGTCATCGCTCCCTCGTCCTGCGATGAAGTTCCTGCAAGTACAAGAGCGGAGAATTTGAGACGTTTTCAAGTTGATTGTCGTGTTTGTAGAAAATAATAGTGTACTGAATTATTGATGACCATAGGTCGTGAAGATAATCGTACTACTTCAGGTTAGAGGAATTTCTCACGAATATTTTGACAAATAAATATCGCATAGATCCTGCAGTTTACACTTCAAAGAATGTACTTTTTAAATAGCCATGTGAAATTTTAATCGATCATCTTTCACATACAGATCTCAAAATTTTCAAATTATAACGCAACTTAGCGCCTGACGAGGGAAAATAAAAGAAAATGCACGCAAATTTTTCCTCCGGATACAAAACAGTATTCTACTTTGAAAACTCAAATTCTGATTTTTTAATAAAAAAGTTCGCCCTTTCCGCATAAGTGCGACGGCAAAATATTAAATTGCAACTAGAAATCTGCATTGCACCAAATTATTGGTAGAGGAAACATTTTTTTAAAATTTTCATTGGTAAAAGTCGAGAAAATTGGTCTTAAATTAGCGACATCCTAATTTTTTGTAGGATTCTATTCTATCCCTATTCCTTCTATTCCTTCTACTCAATTTCCTCGAATTTTAACTGATTTTTCTTCATCCTGTGGAAAATTTCTGTGATAGTGCACAACAATATCACTCATTCGTCATTTTTATTAAAAGCGAAAAAAAAAGCAAAATCGCTGGGAGATTCGAAATGTCGCATATACGTGTTTTTCAACTTTCATCACTGTTTTAATAGCGGTGCATTCTTTGTAAATTTTGTAGATATTGTCATTACATTCAACCATACTCAGATTTTGCCGTCCTGGTGACAAAAGGACATAACTAGCGCTCCAGAAGGTTCATGCTGTTTATTTATCTCCACGCTTCCCAAGACTCAATGCAGAGAAAAATCGCGCTTTTCTACGATTCTTCGTACCAGAAGCTCGTATGGCGGCTGTTGTCTGCACCGCAACATCAAGCGTGGTCTCTGCGGAACATTTGGACGCTAAAAGGAACTATGTCACACGCAATCCTTATGCACATAGTTCCTTTTAGCATAAATACGTCCGTTTGAGCCGAAGAAAACCCTAGATTTAAATTTGCCAAAGCGTTCACTAAATCATCCCTTTTCCGCACCTAGCAAGGCGAATTTAAGCCACTAGCCGGCCGCGCGGCCTGGAATAATTATCCAGCCAGCTGAATATGCT